CATCAGGATTCATTATTCATTTATTTCTTGATCATAGCTATTTCTGGAGTGAAATAGAATCTCAGTGTTGTTTTTATTTGCATTCTTTAATACCAGAGATGTTGAACATCTTTTCATGTATTCATTTGCTGTTTGTAGTTCTTTATATGAGAAATGTCTATTCATTTCAGATGCTTGTTTTTGGACTGGGTCTTTAAATTTGAGGGTTCTGATTTTTTAAAAGGTTTGTTTTTTTTTTTAAATATATTCTTGATGTTAGTCCTTTGTCTGAGGAGTAGCTGGTAAAAACAATTTTTCCCATTCTGTGGATTGCTTCTTCAATCTGTTGGTGGTTTCTGCTGCTGTGCAAACCTTTTTAATTTGATATGTTCTCAGCTGTTGACTTTGTAGAGTTTGCTGTGTGGTTGGGGATTTGTTCATAATGTCTTTTCCTACATCTGTGTCTTTGAGAGTTTCACCTGTTCTGTGTCTCTTTCTTTACCCAGAGACAGAAAAGGACTTGTCCAGGAAACTGCAGTAAATTGATGGCAGAGGTGGGAGTAGAATTCCAACCTGACTCCTTGTTTTCCACACTGTGGAGCCCAGTTGGAGAGGCCATCCAGGCTCTGCCTGAGGAGGCTGTGTTCAGGACAGCAAGGTCTGGCAAACAGCTCTGTGTATCAAGGATGGTAGACAAGACTAAGGCACAAGTACTGTGTCAGTATGGCTGCACATAATAGGCTGGGGATGACAGCTATTTGGTTGGCTTTGACGTCAGTACAGAGCCCTGACAGGTTCCCCAGTTCTGTCAGCTCTGCTTCAGCAGCAGCCTCCTGTGTGAGGAAAGCAGATCCACCTTGGACATGTCAACCCAACCTGGGAGCAAGAGCAGAGCCATGATCCCCATTACAAGGGATCATGGGGATCTGTACTCATCCCCAGGGCTGGTCAGAGTTTTCAGAATTGTTCATTCCCTTATTCAGTAGATGTGACTCCTGCCTTTGTTCAGGTTCTGTACAGAAGCAGAAATGGGCCAAGGAGATGTAGTGCCTGTTCTCAGAGAGCTTCTCTTTTAGTGGGAAGGGACAGCCAAGGAATGAGTCAACCTCCATAGTAGAGCCAGACCTGCATTGGAAGTAAACAGAGTAAGCTATAAGAGCATCCAAAGTATCTAGCCTAAAACTGGAAGTCTTTAGGCATGTGCTCACCTGATTCAGCTCTGCAAGCCAGCTCTGGCTTCTTTCTTTCAGTCTCTGAACTCATAGGACTCCTGGGGCCTGTCCAGAAAGCCCTGCAGGAAGGCATATTCTGGTACACACAGAAGAAGCCGGTCTTGGGCTATGGAGGTCAGTAGCATCTTCTGCACTTTCCTTAGAAGTGAGGGCTTCTCAGTGATGCTAGGATAGTAGGTGGTCCAGTAAGATGTGATGGCTTCAGAGCAGAGCAGGAGTCACACGTGCAGACACTGGTCTGAGGGCAGTATTTAGGCAGTGGCCAACCATAACTGGTGCTTGTGGGGTGCTAGCCCTTGGTTTTGTTCTCATGGGAAGATGAGCAATGTATCATGCTGACTCATGCTTGTTCTGGAGCTTAAAAGAAGTGAGAAAACAGACCCCTCTTTCCACAATAGTGGGAGACAGGGCTTAAGTTTGGGGAAGTAGAAGGGCCTTTTCTCCCAAATAGGTTATGCTTGTGTGAAGGTCTGTGCCCAGGTTCAGTCCTTACCCCTGGGCTACCAGGCCACATTCCCAGGACAAGCAGACTGTTCTTTGTCAGCTGGAAGAATAAGCAGAGTCTACCTTTGATCTCTAGTGGCCTGGCCTCTGCTCTGAGCCCTAGAGCATATTATATCCAGGCTCTGTATGCTGGCGATAGCAACACAGTGGGCAAACCTGAGTGACTGTTTAGTTGCAAAAAATGAAATTTAAGGGCTGAAGCCAGTAGCCATTTCAACAAACACAGGGTGAGTATGAGTTACAGAGAAGCTTTAAAAGTTGTCTAGGCTGAATGTGTGCATAGCCCTGGATGATTCATGCAGGGGTGCAGGCCTAGAAAGTCACTCAGCCTCCTGACAAGGGAGCCTTGGGAGCTCTGAGGTGGTCTGTACCATGCTTGGTTCCTATGGCTTGTGCACTCCTGGCTTTGCTAACACATCAAGGTCAGATTCCTGAAGGAGCAAAGCTGTGTGTAGTGGAGGACTCCCCAGTGCAGGTGACATTTGTGTGAAGTGTCTGGAGAGCAGCAAGTTAACCCTGTCAGCAACCATGGAGAGTAGGGTAGCTGAAAGCAGGAGAAAAGCTCACAGCAGATGTCATGTGGCAGCTTGGCTTATGTGCAGGGCCAGTCTCACCCTCCCTCCTTTCATGCTTTTCATTCTACCTGCCCCCTTTGTCTACCTGGATCACTTCTTCTCCATGCCATACTGTGAACCAGAGGACTCCAGTGTTCACTTGGAGCGGGTCCCTGGCACTCTAGGGAGACCTGAAGATGGCAGAAGGCCCTGTGGCAGGCTTTTAAGACCTCTGTAACCAGAGTGACTTGTCCTACTCTTGTAGGACAGGGTGGGTGAAAGTGTGGCTTCTGCAGAGGTTGTAATAATGACCTGAAGATGACTGGCATGTACATTTTTCACTGCATCCTGGTGGCCCCTCTCAAGCGTGCAACAATGGTGGCTAATATTTATTGAGCAGTTATGCTTGTCATGCATTTAAAAATATTCTCTTCTCACAACCACTTTGTGACATAGCACAGTAAAATGTCTGTTTTATCTGTGAGATACAGGGCAACAGTGTCACATCAACAGTCAGAGGGTGCTGCAGAACCCAGAGAGAGTATCCAGCATAAGGCTCAGCACTTAATGCTGTTGAGCTGTGCAGGAGAGATTGTCTGCTCTCCTCTCAACTCAGGTGGGAGTTGGTGGCCATGTGGCAGGCTACTTGGAAGTATACTGGTTTCCTAGAGCTAATGGAACAAACTGCCACAACTTGGTGACTTGAAACAGCGGAAATGCCCTCTTCTGTTCTACTTACCCAAAGGAAACACTGTATTCTTGGAAGGCTTATTTACCACCCTGGATTCCCTTAAGGATGCCATGGGGCTTCCCTAGTCCCCTTTTAGAGGTCATAATCCAGTAAGGTTTGTGTGTCTCTCATTGCCTGGCAGTGTAGATGTAGAAAGATGTGTGTGTGTGTGTGTGTGTGTGTGTGTGTGTGTGTGTGTGTGTGTGTAGGGTGCTCCAATCTAGGAAGCTCTGTGTGGTGTAGACATGGAATGTGTGTGCATGTGTGTGGGGGTGGGTGGGTACAAAGGGCCTAGCATGACCTATATCTTCCCCTGCCCAGGGAAAGTAGTATGCCTCTAGGTGGGAGCAGTGTTTACTCAAGAATGTGTGTAAAGATTGTGGTTTTTAAAAATAATTGTAATTTCTCCTGAAAGAATGCTGTACATTGTCTCTTTCCCCTACAGAGTTTCTTGTCCTCAGAGCGGGCAGCAGAGCAGCAGGTGTAGAAATGAGAGCAGCAGAAGGCAGTGGAGGAGAGGGGCAGACCCATGTTCCTGGATCTCTGTTGCAGGCCTTGTTGTCCATGCCTCTGTGTACCTGACCATTAGGATTCTTCCAGATGGAAGGTTCTGGTGCCACTGCCACGGCTGCAAACCTCAAGCGTGCTTTGAAATGATGAATTCGTGAAGACCACTCTCCATGTCCTCACTGCCCATGTCCTGCCCAGCAGGTTTCTCTTAGGCTAGTAGGTGCAGTGGCACCACCTTGTTGGGCCCAGACAGTCCCTGGCCAGAGCTCCTCTGCACCAAGAAGAGATGTCACAAGTGAGGACTGGGAGCGAGCAGCTTGCCAAATTGGCACATCATAGCTGACCACCTGTGCTGCATGCCAGTCCACCCTAAATATGTCAGTCTCAGGGGCCAGAAGCTGGTGCTGCAAGGGGGATGGTGGTAGAAGTTCACATGGAACTGGCCAGCCATGGTGCCAGGGTGACAGATGTTCGCTGTGGTACTGGATGTGGCTTGCTCCAGGGCATGGTTGGGCAGTGCCTTCAGATGGTCTCCTAGTCTGGATTTCTTATTGGCCCTGGGTATCCTTTCACTTTGAAGGTTGTATGGCCAAGAAGATTCTCCCACTACTGTGCCATGTGTGCCCGGCCAGCAGACTTGGTCACCCAGCCCAGTGTCATGTGCCCTGCCTGAGCTGACTCACAGTGCAGGTGTCTGGCCCGGGCCATTTCTCCCCTTCACCTGGAGAATCTGCTTAGGACAAAGGCAGCTGGACACTTCAGGTTCCTAGGAGGAACTTGTGTCTGTAGGTCTCAGCTCTGCAGTGCTGGGCATTTTGATGTGATTCCTACAGGCTGAGGGATGGCAAACTGCCTTGGCACATGGCATCTGTCCCCACTCAAGTGGAGCTGAGGCCAGGGAGTGTCAGGGCCAAAGCCAGAACTGCAGGCTACCAGGTTCCTATCACAACGGAGGCCCTGTCCTTTGTACCTGTAATGTTAATCCTGGGAAATAAACAGTCTTTCTTCAAATACCTTCTCTCCTGTCTCCAGTTTCCATGATAAAATGTGTTTTTTTTCTTTTTACTCAGAGATTGATTTATCTTTAGAAATCCTTTCAGTAGCCACAAGATATGAAGCCAATTTATTTGTTTGTTTGTCTCACCAAGAGAAAAAAAAGAGGAAATTGGGGGTAAGGACACAGCAAGACCTTGAGTAGCACAGTGTGGTGCTTGTGGCAGGGCCACCATTTCTAGCAGAGCACTAGGGAGGACTTCCTGGGGTGGCAGGGCTGCTGCTGGGGCAGGGTATTATGCTTGATATGTTGTGTCAACTTGAGGAGTTTAGAAGCTCAACTAAGTAACTCCATAGCTCTACATTCTGTTGTGAAAAGGACAGCCTTTACCACTCTAGGATGTTGAACACTGTGTCAGCTTGAGAAATTAAAAAGTTTAACTAAGTATTCAGCAGGGGGCCAGGATCCTTACTTTGTGAACATCCTCAGCTTGTGAAAGAGGAGGGCATGGAGATGGTGTGGGCACGGGCAGCTAGCCAGCATACAATATAAGGAACTAAAAGAGGCTTGCTCCCTGCCTTGTGCTCTTTCTGCTTTTGCTGTCTTTTGTTGCCTTGAATGGTTGCTCCTCTGCCATGTGCCACTCTGCCTTGGAGCCAGCTGATTACAGCTGATTACCGTGGAGCTCCACAAACTGTGAGCTAAATAAACCTTTCCTTCCTTAATTTTAGGTGTTATGTATTTTGTCTCAGCAATGAGAGAAAATTAACCAAGGCACAGGGGTAGGATGTGGCCAGGACAGAAGGGGAAAGGCTGAGGCAGTGGGATGTGTCAGCGAGAGGGCTTGTGCTAAATTTTGCAAAGGCCTCATTGGCCAACACTGTCTCCTTTATCACATTTTTAAAGTGTCCTGTGGTGGCTGCTCTCATAGAAACTCAATGACATAGATCTAGGACTTTGCCTCCCAATAGCTTGTGAGCAGGTAGCATGCTGGATGCCCTTGTATATGACTCATGACCTACAATGTACTGAGTCTGCCAGAGTGAGCAGGTCTTTGTCTCCCTCTATCCCTTCTCCTTATACCAGGGTTATCTGTTGGCTTCAAAAACTCAGAGATGGCTCTGCAGAGTCCCTCACCTCCTTCCTCTCCAAAGACACTCTAGGCTGGACTGTCAAGCCCACAGGGCCCTGGCCCACCTGAAAAGGCACTCTGACCACTGCCCCTACTGCTATCTCTGAGCCTGCTGTCTCTGAGTGTGGTCCACCCTGCTGTGGGGCTGGGAGGGAGAACCTGGTTGTTCTTTCTGGAGCTAAAGGCAGGCTTAGGGTAAGGTTTTGGCTTTGGAGAAAGCTCTCTTCCCACATGCAGAGACGCAGACTCTGCACAGCCTTCCTTGCACCCCACAGGTCTAAGCATGGCTTCCCCAGCTGTTCCTGAGTCCACACAGCCAGCTGCTGATGCAATGGAATAAGCCATCTGCAGCTTATTCTGCTGGTATGAATTTTGTGACCAACACTTTTAACCATGTTTATGAACTCCACGTCCAGTTGTGGCAGGTTGAGTCCTCTGCAATGATGAAAAGGTTCAGCTATAGACAGTGTGTCTGGTTGCACCAACTCTGTCTCACTGTGGTCCTTCCACTGGCTTCCCTCATCTTCCTCTTCCCTCCTGCTTGTATCTTTGAGATGACAAGAGTGTTCCTTCAGTTTTCTCCACTCTACTTAGAGTTTGCAAAACACTTTTTTTCTTTTTTCTTTTAAAGAGAATAAAAAATATGGAAAACATGAAAACTGATACAGAATGTCAAAACAAGATGATAAGAAATCAACAATGGTTATTATAGTGCATATTTAAAATAGTTGCTGTGATTGCCAGATATAAGCATACAAAACTGATCAAAAATTAAACATTAACTATTCCTTTTAATAAACCAATAGAAATTAATAGTACAATTATCATTGTGTGTGTATATATATATTTTTCCTGGTCCATTCTTCCCAGCTTTTCTAGTCAAATATTCCCATTAAAGATCACGGTTGTTGGGGTTGAGGGTTCTCCCCAATGCCACAAGCCCTCTACCTTGCTTGATTGGCTCTAGGTTATTTACCCATTCCTTTCTCATAATGCTGGAGTGAGATACACTCCCCAAGTAACACATCACACTCTCCTTCCCAAAACCTCTTTTGCCACTGCTGCTCCTAGCCATCCTCCCATTTTCCCCGTCCCAATCCACAGATAACCACA